TTTAAGTATATTTAAAGTATAAAATTTTATACTTAAATTACATTTAAAATATACTTAATTGCAATTTAAATATAATTTAAGTATAATTTAATTGCAAAATTTTATACTTTAAATATACTTAAAATTGCAATTTTAAGTATATTTTAAGTATATTTTAAAAAATGTTAAGTATATTTTAGGTATATTTTAAAAATATATAAGTATATTTTAAGTATATTTTAAAAAAATACATAAGTATATTTTAAGTACATTTTAAAGAATTTTTTTTTTATAAGGATTAAACAATGCCATGTATTGCTCAACACTTTTTGGTGTTGAGCAATGAACCCTTTGTAAACTGATGCCATTTAAAAATGTGTATTTACATATAAACTAAAATTGTAAAAAAAATTAAAAAACTTTAAAAAAATAGGTTTAGATCTACCCCTTGTAGATTATACTTTGTAAACTAAAGTGTATATATATCACATATTTACATATAAACTAAAATTATAAGGTTTTTTTTTTAAAATAAAAAAAACATATGGGCTGATTTGATGCATTAAGTAGTAAATTTGTTATTTATTAAAATTTTTGTTAAAAATTTCAATGAAGTATTTTTTTCTATATAACAATAATGGTAAAGAGTAACAAATTTACTTTAGTTACAAAATTATCATTTTTGGCAAGATAGTATAAAGTTATAATAATAATCATCTAACGTCTCCTCAAAAACTGGTTGTCCACCTGTTAGACATGCCGTAATTTTGGCCGAAAATACCGTAATTTTAGCCAAATTTCCCTTAAAATATCCGATAATATTGGCCAAATCCATTTTATGTGTTGAATCGGCCCATATGTAGGTTCAGATCTACCCCTTGTACTAGATTATATTTTGTAAATAATAATAAGTAAATAATAATAAATAATAAACATTCTATAAATAAATATACTTTCAGCGTTTATATTAACAACAAAAATAATAAAAAAAAATTATTTTTCACTCCCACTTTCTTTGTCCATTTTTAAAATACTGTTACTGCGGTTTTACTTATTTTTTCTCCTTACAATTTCTAATCAGTTTCGCTTAAAAAAAAATATTCATTTGATAAAGTTTGAATCGATAAAATTTTTGAGAGAGCAAATAAACAACAAAATGAAGTACATTTAAGAAGCATCTTTCTATTTTACACTGTTTGAAAATTTATAATAATATTTTAATGTTTTAACGTTTACAATTATGGATCATATTTTCGCCACAGTAAACCTGTTCAAAAATTAACTTTATTCATGTTCAAACTCTTAAATTTCAGTTAATACAACACTGTGCTCAGGGATATATGTAGTTTCTGAATTTTACCGGATTTACCGAACGTACCGAATTATGAAATTTGCTGTAAAAGGTCAAATTTTAATTTTAAAAGTTACCGAAATTTATATTTTCCATACATTTTCACATTTAAAAATTTGTTTTCGCATTTTTTGTTTAATAGCATTTTTGAATATTTCTTGGTGAGCTGGAACCTTTAGTCCTTTGCAAAACGAACGAAATTTATCAAACTTCTCGATGATAGTTTGATTAATAATCCGGGTTCAAAAAATTCTTCAACATATATTAAACTTATATATATATATATTTGTCTTGAATATCTTTTTAAAAAATTCTGCTAATGCAAAAATATGTTTTATTTATTTAGTGACCCTTCTACTTTGTTTTATGCGTACATTTGACAGGTTTCTTGCATCAATAATTTCTTTATTTTGGAATTTGCATGCATATCGATACGAGAACGAGCTTCAATGGTATGTAGAGCTTGCATATTATACTATTATTACTGTATTTTTAACATGAATAAATTAGGATTATTTCAACGCCAACATCTTTTGGTTCGGATTCTAATGATATATGCTTTTCATTACTGTTAGGTCAGAAAATGTTGGAATTTTTAATTGGTGATCCGGCAGGGTTGTTAATTAACGGTTATTTTGAGAAAACTACATAATACTAGACAAAGGAATAACTCCTTGTATTATAAAAATCATATATATATATAAAGAAACCCAAGAAAAATAGTATGCTAAAATAACTATACCTTAATTATTAAAAAAAAACAAATTTCCACTTTTATATGCGAATTTTGATAATTTTTTATTATATTTCAAATGATTTATAGTAATAATCAACAAAATTCAAATTATGTACTAAAAAAAAAGTTTTTATTTTTTATTTTTTTTTAACGAAGTCAATTTATTACTTTATTAGGAAATAAGAAAAATTACAAAAAAAGAAAAGATCTACATTATATAACATTTAGTAAAGCGAAAAATAATATTATTAGGGACTTAAGATTTTATGTTCAAAGGAACTATCTACCATCCTGCATACCCAAATAGGTTCACTAGACTATCCGTATAATTACTACTATTCGTATGGACTTCGGTAATGTTATATAAAAACTCTCCACAATACCTTTAACTACTAGTACTACAACCATAAAAAATAATAAAAATAAAAACTACGAAACACTGCCGTAATCAAATAATATTATAGTAATCTACTGTACTACTCAAAATAAATATGACTTTGAAGACTTTGTAGATTAAAATATTTTCTTATTTTTTGATATGCGCATTTTGTCAATAAACTGCTCTTTACAAAAATGTTTTTTTTTAACATTTTTATCAATTTCCCAAACCTCTATCTATTTCATTAAGCTTATTACACCTCATTTTCCAAAAAATCATAGATTTATCCAAAATTTTAATTGTTTGAAAAAACTAATTAACGAACAAGGAAAGAAACCTTTAATTAAATCTATGAAAGTTATGCTTTCAAATATCATTAATATTTTTAACATGTTCGAGAGTAATATGATTAATAGGATCTAAAATTTTATTAATTTCTAAAAGAAGCCAATTTTGCAGTCGAAATTAAACCTTCCATATCCCTCGTCTTTCTTCACAAACTAGGTATGGTTGATAAAAAAAAGTATTTATTAGCTATTAATTGTAACGAAAATTGCATAGGTGACAATAAATTCATGAATACTAAAATTGCGATAACTTAAATATTTTTAAATAAAAATCATATGATATATGTAAAAAAATCCCAAGGAAAAATAATATGTTAAAATAATTATAACTTACTATTGAAAAAAATTGTACGTGCGACAGATTCCCACTTGCTATATGTATTTTATACATTCAGCAGAACTTGATATAACGATTATGCAATATAATGAATTTCACGATAAAGAGATTTTTTAAGATTTTATCTTTATATATGTTATAGTATATAAACATATAAAATTCGTTGTAACAAACTTATATATAAATTTCGACATACCAATTTTTTTTTAGTGAACTGGAGGGTTCGTTATGTCGAGTTCTGACTGTATATATGATAGTAAATTTTTTTCTTATATAATATTACTAAGGTAATATAAAGTTCCGTATAAACGCAAGTTAATAAATTTAATGACAGAAATAAAAAGTAGAATTATTCTAGAATGTTAACAAAATGCAAATAAAAATAAAAGTACTGCATATCTCATTAATGCAAGCAATGTCACAGCCACACTAGAAACAATTAATTAAGTCCATACATTATATAACAGGTAATTTTTAATATAAAACTTAATTTTCTAAAAAATAAATAAATAAATAAATAAATAAATAAATAAAATAAATAAATATAGAAAAAATAATTTTATATATAATAACCTTCCAGGAGATTTTTTTTAAGCAATGAAAAAAAAACTTACCTTTTTTTTACGATGAATTTTTTTAGTAGTAAGGCTTTATGTTTTGATAATAAAACAAGATACGCTTAAAAAAATTATCGATATAAATTTACGAAAACAGATTTAACGAAAATTTTTTAAAAAACTTACTACTAGTTAGGCCGAACCAATTTGATATTCTGTTTAACAAAATCCTCCCCCATACATGGAGGTGAATTAGGTTCAAGCCATGCTGAAATATTACGACACATTACACTAATTTCGGCATTATACCGGTGTAATACTGATGTAATACTATTTTCATATCATCAAATGAATCTTCGAACAAAAATTTGGTGTAATATATTTCACCATTACTACGCCACCTTAATGCCGAATTATCTGAAATAATTACGTCTCCATGTATACCCTCAAAAATTTAAATTTAGATAGGCACCGAAAAAAGCAAAAATTTATCAATTTTTTTTAAATTCCCCCTCTCCTTCCCCTCAAAATTTGGTTCTTATAGATATTAAAAAAAAATTTATATAATATTTCCCCATGGAAATCTAATTTTTGGATTTCTTTTTTTACTTTTTCCTTCTCTCCCCTCAAAATCTTAATAGTAAAAAGTAATTTAAAAACTTTGTAAATTATTTTTGCCCCCTCCTTTTTTCAACAAAAATTCTTGTTAAACAGAAAATCCTATTGCCTGGCCTTACATTCCAGTGCTTATCTAACCCTAACTGCTAAGCAGCTCCAGTGTCAATGTTAACGTTAAAGGTGATCTTTCAGCCTAAATTAACCTTCCTAATCCTTACCTAATCCAATGCTTCTGCTAAAATCTATATTTCTTTAGTACAGAGAACTAGTGAAAAAAAAANAGTGCTTATCTAACCCTAACTGCTAAGCAGCTCCAGTGTCAATGTTAACGTTAAAGGTGATCTTTCAGCCTAAATTAACCTTCCTAATCCTTACCTCTTATACACATCTAGATGTGTATAAGAGACAGTTCTAATCCTTACCTAATCCAATGCTTCTGCTAAAATCTATATTTCTTTAGTACAGAGAACTAGTGAAAAAAAAAATAGAAGATAATGACGAAAATTAAAGGGAAATAAAAAAAAATTTTTTTTTTTTTTTCTTCTCTTCTTAAAACATACCATTTTTAAAATCTTTGGACAACTAAGACATGCCAATACTTATACAATTTGAAATCGATATTTTTAATTTCGTGAATCCGTTAATATGTCAAATCTGGATATCTCAAATATTGTTGACAATCTTTTTCGTATTTACCGATTTTTTCCATTTAAAAATTATTTGTACGATGTTGCTCCATTATATAATACTTTTTTCTTTTACATAATTCAACATGATATACAAAGATTAACAAGTAGATCACACATCATTCGTATATCATTTTTTTTTTAACTCGGGTACACACATTTACGTTCTATTTCTTTTTAAGAGAATACGGTAAATTTTGTGAAGCATTCTTTTTTGTGTAGTATTCATTCATTTTCTATTCTTGCGTTTTATAAAACCATTTTTTCCTTTTTTTTCGAAGTTTGAATTAATCACTTATAATAAAAAATTCATCCTTATATGCAGCGATCCTTTCTTTTTAAATATAACTATTATTTACTGCGGTTAGAGAACATGCTCTTATTTAATTAATTCTGATATATTCTATTTTTTTCTCTTTTTTTTTTTATTTCCTAATAATTTCTTTCACATAATTCTTCACGTAAAATATACATTCCTTTATTTTATATAGAAGCATCTGTACAAGGATTTATTGTGAAGGTTTGATTCTTTTTTTTTAAAAAAAAATGGTTTTTTTTGGCTTGGGTTTGTTGTATTTTTTTTTTTCCTTTCAAGTGAATTAAAAGTTTAAAGGTTTCTCTTTTTTAAAAGGTTGCGCGTTTTTTCTTAGTATAATAAAATAAAGTAAATTTTTCTAAATCAAAACCGCTTAATAAGATAGGAGAATGTCTCTTATACACATCTAGATGTGTATAAGAGACAGGTGTTATTTAATAATTACGCTAAAATGAATATATAATAACAATAACTGATAATAATAATAAGAATAAATTGAATTAAATTGATTATTTTTTTTTAGTGAGGAGAAAAGAATTTGCTTGTGAAAATTAAGAACTTNTTTATTTTTTTTTTTTTGTCACAATAATAATTATTTCTTCTAGAGTACCCCTATTTTACTTTCTTTGTGAGTATACCATATAAGTACTCATTCACAATTGTGATACTAAAATTTGTTATGCATTGTGTTATTTAATAATTACGCTAAAATGAATATATAATAACAATAACTGATAATAAAAATAATAATAATAATAATAAATTGAATTAAATTGATTATTTTTTTTTAGTGAGGAGAAAAGAATTTGCTTGTGAAAAATTAAGAACTTTGTTGTCAAATAGGAAATAAATTTTAATTTTAGGAAAAATGATAAATAATAAAAAGATTAATAATAACAAATAAGGAGAAGAAGGAAACAGACACTAGGGTAATGGATTGTATAACATAAAGCATATGAAAGTGTAACAATTGTGGAAATTATATAAACAAAAATAAAGAAACCTCATTCCTTTTAGATATTCACTCCTATCTTTTTTTTTACAATAAAAAAAGGAGAGAAAGTATTTTGGTTCATACTTTTTTACATTCAAAAAGAACTAAACCGATTTTTTTTCCATAAAAAAACCACTTTTTTTTTTATATACATATATTTAATATTAATGTTAATAAATATTCGTGCTAAATTTAAAAAAGTAATTATATAAATTATTTTAATTATTAAAAAGAAGAGATAAATATACAGGAAATTATCAAACAACAAAAATATTTTCGATTTTGGAATATTTAAAATAAAAAAAAAAATAAAAATAAAAATATTATTAATTTATTTATTTATTTTGCTTTATTTTATTTCACATTCCGATATAATTCATATAAATTCTTTTGTCGGGTTTTTTTTTTAAAATAAAAAAATAAAAATAAAGTAAAAAAAAATAAATAAAAATTTTTTTTTTTTATTTAACTTTTTACATTCCGATTAAATTTTTTCATCTCCGGTTTTTATTTGCCAAAAAATGACACCAGATCATCAATTAAATTAAAAAAATTTTTATTTATATTATGCTTAACCCTTTTCGGAATATAAAAAAATATCTAATAATTTTTATTTGATTAATTATGAACAATCAAAAATTTCCGAAAATAAAAATTTAACCAAATTATCATATTTTTGTTCCGTAATAAAAAAGGAAATAACACGCATAAAAAAAAAATTGCGTAATACTGCGTTACATTTTAAAAGGTATTATTAATATATATAATTTTTTTTTTATTATGCGAACCTTTAAAGGTTAGTAAAAATTAGTTTTTTTTTAGTAAAAAAGTGATGAGAAAAAATGATTATCAAAAAAGAAAAAGAAATAAAAAAAAAAAAAATTTAAAGAAGAGAGAGAGAAAATAAGACAATCTAAAAAACATATATATTAATAATTCATTCATTTTTGGTACGAAGGCTTGGGTCGGGATTATAAATTAACCACTCACATGTTTATAATGTTACTTCACATTTTTGTTTTCTTCTTTATCCACAAAAATGGTATAATTCAAAGATTTACAAATAAAAAAGTAATTGACAATCAATATCATCAATCAAGGAGTCAATAATATCACGAAAATTACGAAACAAAAAAAAACAAAATCACAATTCTCTCTGGAATAATTTCGCAATTGAATCACGTGATATGACGAGGCTACACTGCTACAGCCACTTGAATTGATTAGTTCCGGATATTTGATTATACCGAATCCAACTCACATTATATCAGTACGGATTTATAATAAACCCTTTAGAAGATATAAAGATTATAATACATGTGAAAAGATATAAAAGGGACAATAAAAAGATTTTCTTTTTTAGTATTTCATTATCGGAATGGACCGTTCTCTTAGCTTTATCAATGAGTAAATATAACGTGAAAAAAAGACAAGAAATATATATCAATAACTTTTTTTTTTACTGGTTAACAAATAACACTTTCTTTAAATGTTATTATTAAACCAAGGGTAAACAGGTTTCAATTTACCATTTTCGGTAAATTTCCTACTTAACCTAATTTAGATACAACGACATTTATCATACGTATCATACGTGGACCAATCATCTGCTATCATTGGTTAATAATTCGGATGACCCATTTATATACTACTAGATCAGTAAATAACTAATACTTATCGTATTTATCAACGCAAAGCACAAATCTTTTGAGTATTATAATTAACAAACTAATTAGGAAAAGTATTAGTTTCAAAAGGTTTGATTGACCTCGAGTTCTTTGTAGTCTTTTTAAAAAAAAAGAAATTTTTTTAAACTAACTTCAATAAAGTTAATGTTATTTTTGTTAAAAGCGCGTAATCTATTATTAAAATAATATGTTATACTTTTCATGTATAAACGCGAGACAATTTAAAGACTCCGACTTACGAATTAATATAAGTAAAGAGAATGAGCTTCGAATTAGTAACAATTGATTATTTTAAAATGAACGCGTTGTAATCACTAAATCAGTAAAGTTAATTTAACCTTATCACATCTATTCACAACTATTCACAATTATTCACTAAATTAGAATGTTATGTAAAAAATAAAATATATATGTGTGATATATAAAAAATATATCTGATATATATTTTTTATGTATATTAAATATGAATATGTGGCTGGTGACATTTTTTTTTCTTTTTTTCTTTGTTTATTAAAATAAGAAAGTTATTAACTTTATAATCTTTTTATTCAACAATTAAGATAATCAAAAAAAAAAATGGATTCTCTCGATATCATCTCTTTTTACTTAAAAAAGGTTTATTAAATATTATAAATTCTAAATCTTTAAAGTTATATTAGTGTTACTCTAATAATAATGCACGTGGTTAATAGTATTCATTAGTAATATATAAAATAAAAAATACAAAAATATCGAATATATATATTTTCATTTTATACATCACTAAATTATTAGGTAGTCCGGTGACTATCCCCGGTCAAAATCGTAAATTTTACGTTAAGATTTTTACGTAAAATTAACGAAAAATGTGTCCAATAACTGTTAATGGACTATTAACTTATTAATCAGTATAATTATCATGATTTCGGACGGTAACCAGACAATACTGTCTTATAACCGAAATTTTAAAGGGTCGTCATTTTTATTAGTATTAGTAGCTTAATGGTTTCAACTTAAATAAGTCAAAAACATATATATTATAAATTAAAAGTTTAAATAGTCTAGGTGATTAGATCACGAAAAACAAGTACCTCAGGTCCTAGGTTCGATTCCTAAGGTAAGTATAAGTTTATATATATTAAATATTATTAAAATATTTAATATTAAATTAACTATTTAATATTAAATAATTTTTTCAACAGATCGAACGTCCATATACCTGAAATTGACGGTTTATGGACGTACATAATATAACGTCCAACCTACGGAGGGTCCGTCAATGGACAGTTAGTGGACATATGTCCAATAATGGTTGCCGACCTGCCTGGAAATTTAGTGATGTAATTTTATATTTATATATTAAAAATATAAAATGTACCAAAAATTTTATTATAAATAGTCTCTCCATTTCCTAAAAAATGAAAAAAAAAAAAATTTTTTTTTTTTTGGCTTTGACAGATTTTTTTTCGTTCTTTAAGTAAACTGAAATTTCAATATTTTATATTAAAGATATAGATTCTCTCTAAAATTATATTTATGACTATTTACTGTATATACGGTACTATAGCCTTTTATTAATAAAAAACTATACATAATGGAACATCGTACAGAATCTAATTTCTCTAACTCCTCTATGAACGACCAACTTGGTGCTTCAACTACTTCATCTCGATCTTATTTATCAAAATATATTCGTGGACGTCGAAACAGACGAGAATTGAAACGTAGAATGCAAGTATTAGATCCATTTAGATATTTACAATTACCCGTACAAGTCACTACCGATTCATTTACCGATCAAATTTTTAACGGGACGCTTAATTTCTTTTAGACATCATTATAATAAATATTAAGATGTTTATGATATTCAAATATTTAATTCTTTCGATCTTTCTTCGCTTTTATAACCGAAACATCCATCGTTAACTTGATAGTGTGCAAAATCTGATTATACTCAAACCCGGCAAAACTAATTTTCGGAAAATTCTTAAAATTCAATTAAAATAGATATACATCGTCAGCAAACACAATTTCCAAAATTTTCGAAATTTCTTCATAAACGAACAATTTATTTAATTTTATAACTTTTGCTATAATACAATAAAATTTATTAAATAAATAAATAGATATAGTAAATAAATACGTACTACATATATATTTACGTATCGGTATGTCAATCAGCTTCAATGGCGGCTAAATTTTGATTGTTCAAAAGATTTGGCAAAAAAGATTTGTCAAAAGATTAAATAAAAAAAATCTGTGTTCTTTTCCATATTACCCCCTTTTTATTATAAATTAAATAATTCGTTATATAGAACCTTTTTTATCTACTATTAATAGAATAGTATATCGTCAATGTTTGATTGTTTTAAACCATAGTTTTTGAGCAATAAAATTTGGCAAAAGATTAAATAAAAAAAAAAAAATCAAATCTGAGTTCTTTTTCATATTACCACTTTATTTTCATTATAACGTTTTTTTTTATTTATTTATTTATATAGTTATAGTTTAAAATAAAATAATATAATATCAGTCCAGTTGTTAATTCAACAATTAGTTACTGTACATGGAACAAAAATGATGACGCAACATGAAATGATAACCTTTTAATATAATACGTTCCTGTTGCTTCGCACCAAGATTGTAATGCTGGCTGGAATTATATGATCGTCATATAAATTTCGCTTTTTTGAATTTGTTTAACGTCACATAAGAAACTGGCCAATGGTAGTAAGTCAAGGTTTCACAATTTAGAATTTATTTATACAGGTAATCTAAACGTTACAAATTTTTTTAATTATATAGATTTAGAAAGTGATGAATTATTTAAATATCATAGTTCAGGTTCATCACAATTTATTCTAACCTAAAAATCTTTCATTGGCTGGAAAAGTATAAATGACTTAAGAAATAATTAAAGGGAATTTTAATTTAATATAACTAAAATTGGTAACTAAAAAAAAGACAAAAGGTATATATCGAATAAATCACATATAGTTTATATATCACATACTTATAAACTAAAATTATAATTTTTTTTTTTTTTAAATTAAAAACTTAAAAAATAGGTTTAGATCTACCCCTTGTAGGTTATCATATTTTATAAGTAAATAATAATAAATAATAAATATTCTATAAATAAATATACTTTCGGCGTTTATATTAACAACAAAAATAATAAAAAAAAATTATTTTCCACTCCCACTTTCTTTGTCCATTTTTAAAATACTGTTACTGCGGGTTTACTTATTTTTTCTCCTTACAATTTCTAATCAGTTTCGCTTAAAAAAAAAATATTCATTTGATAAAATTTGAATTGATAAAATTTTTGAGAGAGCAAATAAACAACAAAATGAGGTACATTTAAGAAGCCCAGATTTCGGCCGATCATTAAATACGATCTCGATTTTTTCATATTCTTACGGAAAATTACTTGATTTTAATAATTTCAATGTCAAACTACTTTTAGTTTAAACTTCATAAGTGGTATTTAAAATAAGTCTTACATAAATGTAAATGAAACTAATATTACTGCGATATAAGAATGAGCTTTTACCTAAAATGTTATTTCTGCTATTAAATAAAATAAATCTATTATAATTAATTTAAAGCAATGGTTGAAATTCTGCGCATGAGTATTTGGCAGTAAAATTCTGTAAAAGGAAAATTATAACGAATCAAAATTTTACTCGAATATACCAACAAATTTATTGTTATATAACAAATTACGGCATCAATTATTAATTGTTAATCCTGATATAATAATATTAATAATGTTAGTTACATAATAATTCTTTATTTATACCTGAAAATAATATGACTTGTTGATTTATCAGAATTCTCTTAGATTATAATTATGTTTGAAGCAATTTTTTTTATTTAAAACTTGTTTTTCAAAAAAAAAAAGGAAAATAATTTGGTAAATACAAATCTTTAGAAAATTTGGGGCGACCTATCGTGGTCACGTGGTTTTACTCCGCAGTAGATTAGAATTATGCTGAACACTTTCTGAACTATAGCTTTTTTAATTTTAAAACATAAAACAAGTATAATTATTCGTTGAGATATGAATTTATATTCGTATCTTGACGAATTTACGAATATTGTAGAGATTTTAATGATTTGGGTTAATATGTACAATTATTTTGTTCACAATCAACGCTAAACTTTCCTTTAATATTTATTATATATTTGTTTATACTTAAATTAATTTTCGTTTTCTCGTCGTTCATGTTTGTATGGAAAAATTATTTTTCACTTACCGTTATTATTACTTTTATCGAAACTACTTATATGTAACATTAAAATTGATTATATATACTGTATTCCTATTTTTTAAATACTTTGACGCGAATATTATTTAATATTCGTTTGAAGTTTTATTTACATATTGATCATTTTTTTTAGAAAAAAATTGGCAACTATTCCTTATCACGTGCAACAAATTATTTATTATTTTGCATTACTCCTTGGTTTTTTTAAAAAAAACCTGTATATTTGCTTATTTGCTTGTTGATCGGATAATTTTTCCGACCCCCCTAAAATATAGGGATTTGTTTCTTACCCTATTATTAAGCAATTACATAATGTGATCGCCAAGAAATGTGTTTTTTTTATAAAGAGAACTACATTATTTTTTTTAAAAAAAAATCAAAAAACTGGATTATAATAATGAATCTTCGTTTCGTTCACTGAGCCCTTCTGGGTCTCAAGATATCTCAATCTTATGGTAATCGTTCAGAATGTAAACAAAAAACGAACTGCAGTAACATGGTGTAAAAATTGCGATATAGCAATTTTTAAAGAAATTTTTGTAGCTGGACCAGCGGAATTTCTATAATTGATAAATTTATAAGGGATACTCAATTATATGCTAATGAAAATATGGACCACCTCGAATGGATTGAATTTGATCAATTTCTTCGATCGTCTTTGTAATTTATACATCTTTTACGGATACTAGAAATAATTGTTTTTGCTCCATTATATTTAATTCAATTTTAAATTCGTAATTGTTTCCTTATATCAATTAGCTCCTTTAAATATTGTTGTAAATGTGAAATATCATCAAATCTAAAAGCCTCGAGTTTGTTATAATGATCTCGTATAATTTATAATTTATCTGAACATTTGAATATATAACTAATTCCGAGATTGACAGCAGATCAATTTCAAAATTCGATAAGATACTTTTGTTTTATGCACTTACTTGATTTATAAATTCAAGGCTCATGTTTTGAGAATCATCCAAACGTTTCAATAGGCTTCTTCATCGAAATTCCACATCGGGCCTTCCATCCAAACTGCAGAATAAATTGGTGGTGGTAAAGTTCGGTTAGAAACACTTTTTGGAACAATCCACAATATCACTAATGCTATTATGTGGTGCCTTTTTTTATTTTTTTTTCTTTTTCCTTCAATTTTTTATTATTATTAAATAAAGAAATAAAATATTATATTAAATATATTTACAAAATTATTATTTTTTAAAAAAAATCAATATAATATATAGGAAAATTGATCGACGTCAGGTTAATAGAAGATGAAGTGTAGCTGAAGTAATTTGTGGATTTGCTCAGGGCGAAGGGTAAATCCGTTTTGAACATTCCATCGGTGTATTGAACTGAAGGTCAATCAATCACTGAAAAAGATTTAATTAAAATCTTGTAAACCTACATTTTGTTTAGTAGACTTTGCGTTATTTGGTGCCCAGAACATTCTTTATCAAAGTGTACTTGCATTCGTGAAGGAACGGCCTGGTCAAAAATTTTGGATTGCACAGAAGGATGTAAATTATTTTTACTATTTTCTACCCGATTTTGTGTAATAACACCTTTTTTTTAGTTATTGTTAACTGAAATTAAAAAAAAAAGATGAAAAATCAAATAAATCGGAAGTTCGATCACATGATTTAAATCTGCTTCTTTGGTTGGTCAATTTATAATTAACCAAATTACGTTGGTTAACGTTAATTACTAACTTAGCTTTCTATAGAGAAATTTTCATATATTTTGGAAAAAGAAAGGCAAAGGCGCGATTTGTTTCGTAAAATATAAACAAAGATAACAATGATGGTATTCATATTGGTTGGTAAATCTTGCATAATTTTGTGTAACTGTGACAAGTTTTATTCTCATGAAATGAAATACTTTCAAACAAAATTATTTTTTTTTACAAAAATTTTAATAGTCTTTTATATTAAGCAATGCTCTGTAGAAAAAGTCAATCCGTTTTTTATATTCCATCTTTTTTCCGTAAAAGGCTCATATTTCCGGAATTAATAACCTTATATCGCGGAATTTATCGAATTATTTACATTTTCCGTGAATGGATCCGTGAAAGGCTCATTTTTACAGAAATAACGGATAAAATTTTTTATAGGGATGCCCCGATCTTAACGTGTCCATTCACATCTCTGTTTTAAATACTAAAACGCCAACAGAGTTAGATTATTCTTTTACATAGGCACAAAAATTAAACAATGCCCCGACTCTAACGCCATTCATGGTTTTTTTTCAAATACTAAACGCTAACAGAGTTAGATTATTTCCTTTAACAAAAATTTTAATAATCGTTTATGTAATAATAAATTATTATAGACACAAAAACAATTAAGCAATGCCTCGATCTTAACGTGTCCATTCACGTCTCTTCCATTTTAAATACTAAAACGCCAACAGAATTAGATTATTTCTTTTATATCATAGGCACAAAAATTAACAATGCCCCGACTCTAACGCCATTCATGGTTTTTTTTTCAAATACTAAACGCTAACAGAGTTAGATTATTTCCTTTAACAAAAATTTTAATAATCGTTTATGTAATAATAAATTATTATAGAC